CCACTTTGTTCCGATTATGTTAACACGGTCAGGTCTTGGTACCAGATCCCATACATGATTGCGGTCAAACTGATGTAGCTCCTCTTGTATTGCCTTAATCCATAGATCATCCTGCAAGGTTTCCTTCATATTTTTTTTGTTCTATTTTTGAGGTGTAGCAGGCAAATCCATATATTTCTACCAGATTGTTTCTCATCCAACTTCTGGTGTTCATTCCATCTGATGGATTACCAATTATGTTGTCTGATGGATGATTTTTCTGAGTTCTGGTAGGCTTATTCTTTCCATCACCATCCGAGAGAGATTTCTCTTGTTCAGGGCTTTCCTTATCTTCTTCTAATGAATCATGTGTGTCAGACAGTTTGGTATTCTCAGCTGTTTTTAATGACTCACTGATAGGAAGGTCTGTTTCTAGATCAATGACCGATGTTTCATCTGATTCTTCTGGGTTATCATCGATAACAACATTCACTGATTCCACGAATGATTGAGTTCGTTTGTTGTAAACTCTATAAGCTCGACTATTTGGAGAGTATCCAAGAAAGATGCCCTCATCACTCTTGGGTTCAAACTTTCCCCTTTGTTCACTATCAATTAGAACATAGCATCTTGTTCCAAACACATGAAAGTACTTCAAATTTGGCTTCTTCCCTTTCCATATCTCATATGGTGTCTTAGACGTACCTGGTCTGAGATAGACTCTATTCACTGTATGACATGCTGTGTGCACTGCTTCAGCCCAGAAACGCTGTGGCAGATGCGATGCGTGTAACATCACTCTGGCCATTTCCTGGAAGGTCCGATTCTTTCTTTCCACCACACCATTCTGTTGTGCTGTTCTGGGAGCCGAGAACTCCTGAGCTATTCCATTTTCGGAATAGAAATCTAAGTATAAAGAGTTTTCAAACTCTTTCCCATGATCACTTCTTAGTCTTTGGATTTTTATAATGGGCTCGTCCTTTTCTTTTTGTACTCTTATGATAGAGTCTTGAAAGCATTGTGTAATTTTCTGTATTCGTGTTATTAGGGTGTGTAGATAATATTTCTGTATGATTCTGTTTGAGAGATTGACTTAGCACTGTCTTAGATCAGTGAAAGACACAAAATATTGTTTACCTAGTTCGATACAGTGTGTATCTACGTTTGGGGGACGATCACCGTTGCGTCCAATCCACTAACTCATAATCCAATGTACAAAGGTAGAGAAAAACGATCTCACCCAAGTGCCCCACACAAGGTCAGTACCCAGTCTACAGAGGTTTAGTGGATTGTTGAAGTCGGAGAGCCGCGCATCTAGAAGTCCAATGAAATCCCTTCAATGTAGAGCTAATTCTGATGCAGTCCGCTTCACTGACGCAGTCCCACGTTGTTCCCACAACTGAGTGATCTTCGCGTCCACTGGTTTAAGCACGATTGATTCTTCTCAAGTTCATCTTCTTAAGCACCATGAACTGTATTTCTTGAGAAGGAATGGAATAGCCAGAGCTGTGTATTCTTTTAGTATTGAGAGTGTTGGCTTCAAAGCATTCAACCCTAACTTGTGAAGGCTTGTATGCATAAATACTTCTTGTCTTTGATTCTCTCCAAAAATAGCTCTGGTTGTAAAAGGTAGGACTTGTATAGCTAATCAATATTGATTCTTTAAGGAGATTTTGTCCATACCTAAGGAGAGATGATTTAATGATATTCTTTCTTGAAATATCACCTCAAAACCGCGTTTGCCAGCTCATACGCGTCTTCAATAGATGATCTCCAGCGGTTTTAATTCTGAGACGCTCTTTCGGAATATCTGATCAATCAGAACTTCAGTCTTCAAACTCTGACAGACTCTAAAACAGAAAACCTATCTAATTTGCCATAATAATTTTGCCAATTACAAGTTGGGGTTTTAGACTCAAAACACTAACACATTGAATGCCTCAGATTTTTCTCTCAGAAAGTATACCCAACTGAAACGAGAGAAATCATCTACACACATAAAGATGTATTTCTTTATGCCAATGCTTTCAGTCTGACACTAGTACAAAACTGCACATTTGCTACTGTTGTAAAGGGCTTTTCGCCACTGTTGTACAACAGTAGCGAATACTATAGTCACTAAAAGTCATGGACTTTTCGTCACTGTTGTGGAACAGTAGCGAAAAGTTGAGTCATCTGCTACTGTTCTTCACTTGAACGGTGGCAGATTATTATTATTATTATTTTATTATTCACTTTCCGCTACTGTTCTTGTTGAAGAACAGTAGCGGATTAATTTTATATTTTTTAAAAAATTCACTTTCCGCCACTGTTCTTCTTTGAAGAAGAGTGGCGGATTCATTTTAATTTTTTTTTTAAAAAAAAATTAAAAATTAAAAAAACAAAAACAAAAACAGTATTTGTTTTTCACACTGCAATTCTCATACAAACATTATAAAATTACAATACTTCAAGCTAAAAAACAATCAATGAATTACAAATTTACAGTTCCAAATTAAAAATAATTGAAAGCTAAGACTTGGCTAAAAAACAATCAATGAATTTAGATGAATGGCTAAAAAACAATCAATGAACTAGTGTGCCAAAACTAAGACCTGGCTATAGTTGGATCGTATAGGCTCCAATTCAGTAGTGGGTGGAGCTCATTCAATTTCTGCCAAGGTTGAGCAACCAAGATGAATGGCTGCCCATCTTAGAAATGTTCAAAGATCCATCTTACCGGTACTTTCAATTGGATTTATATAAGCTGAACTGCAAAACAAGGATGTATAAAACTATAAATTAATTCCAAGTCCAGTTGCAATTTTGCAAGCAACAAAGATTTATTACTGTAAATTCTTTTCTTTTTTTTTCTTTCATTCTTTTTTTTTTTTTTAGGCAAGTATAACAGTAAATTTATTAAAATTCAAAATTACCTAAGAAAAGATCAGCAGACTAGCAACCACAAACACAAAAGTGTAATCCATCTTACAGGTATGATAATGTGCTTCTCTCTCTCTCCCTGGAATAAACACTAGAGACTAGAGTCCCTGCATTTGCAAGATCCTAATTAAATGAAATCACAAACATCATAGGCAACACATAGATCCAAAGACAGTTCAACTAGAATCATTCTACTTCTACTAAAGTTACATTAACTAGAAGTCTAGAAATCTAGAATCATCCTACTACTGATAAAGTCACATTCTTTAGCCCCCATATATATGTAGATCTCAGCATTTGGACATTAATTCCATCCAAAAGAAGGATAATAATAAGCCACTAATGAAAAAGATCAGGCACCCTTTAATAGATAAGCATTCATGATTCAGTTCAGTAAGAAAGAATATTAAAAGAATTACTAAAACCCAGCATCTCAAGAAGAATGTCACTTTTCGTGAACAAGGAAAGTACATACAGACATGCTGGGAAATGGGATTTGGGATTTGGGATATTAGATTAGTACTGTATTTCCTTTTTAAAGTTGTAATCTTTAGCCCACCGAAGCTGTAGATCTCAGCATTCTGACGTAAGTTCCAAGAAAAGGACACAAACAGAAACATAACAGATTCAGGTACCCTTTTAGATGCAAGCACAAGAAAACCAGAATTCAGAGCTACATTACAAACACACACACAATGTAGATAGATTATAGATATAGCAGTTAATTCAACATAACAGAAGCAGATCTGGGGTCCCAAATCTACACAAACAAATCTAGAAGATTTGAAATGAAAAGAGGGTGGTCTGTAACTAGAGAGAGAGAGAGAGAGAGAGAGAGAGAGAGAGAGCTAACCTGGGGAGAACTGAGCTGAGTTGAGCAACTCAGAGAGAGAGAGAGGAGAGGGGCTTGGAGGTGGAAGGCAAAGGCTGAGGGAACTTGGGGAGACAGAGAAGGAGCGGCGAGTTATCACCGCTGGTTTATCAATTCATTTCAAGTAAAGCTCAATCTCTTCACACACCACTAGTCTAGCTAAAAAATGAGACAAAAAACAAGTTAATAACATCACTTAAAAATTAAAAGGCACATCACTTGAAATGTGCATAAAACGTAAAATCATTGATACTTTCAACACAGGGTAGGTAAGTTGAGGACATCTAACAATGTAATATCAGTCCACAAAAAAATACTTTAAGTTGAGGTGAAATGTGTCAATTCGGCACATAACCTATCATGTCTTCTTATAAGGCTTTGGTCAAAGGAGAGGTATCAGGCACATAAATCATACTTTTACATTAGTCTATGGAGGGGAAATACCAAGTCAGGATGAAGTAGTATATTAGTATACCTTAGCAACTTCAGCAACAATATCCGGCAACTCCATAGCAGTAACATCATTTAATGCTGGGAGTGAGTTTGCTACTAGCAATGTTCTTTTATGAGGTCGTGGTTTCGTCTCTCCAGATCCAAACATTCTCTCCTTGAATTCATCAAAATCATCCACTTGAGTACATCAGAAAGAGTATTAATAATTATAATGTCTCAGTTCAGAGTTTTATAAAAAAAAAAAAAAAAAAAAAACTCATATTTGAAATTTCATTTTAGAAAATTATTTTTGTGTCACTTGCCCGCCAAGATCTTTGCATCTTATTGCGGCTCATCCTATATATCTCGATGATTTTTCCTTTGTGATAGAGATCAACACAGGCCCGTGATCCCCAATCAAAGATGTTTGCAGCAAGTACTCCTTCAATTAGGGTAAGTAGTCTCATTTCCTAGAAGAAATTAAAGCAGTTTAAGTGGAGAGGAAGTATTTTGATTGCTAGAGATAAGTTGAAAGGATTGAATGAAATATGTAAAACGTTACATTTTAGAACACGTTCCTAGCACTTCTACTCAGCAAAACAGGAAAACTGCAAATAGAGTTAATCATACCTCATTCATGCCGTCAAACTCCATTAGAAGATCAGGTAAAACTGAAAGTGATGCTTCGTTCTCCCTGATATATAGAAATATAGAATAATAGATGGAAGGGGTCATTTTCAGTGAACAATATGCAAAAGATGTATCTTTCCTATATCCATACCTTTGTTTAATGGTCCTGTAGGCATCAAAGAAATGAAACTCTCTCAAGTACTCTTCTCGTAGTTCCAAAAGGTCAGCCAGTCCTAGCTTACCATATGCAGCAGGCTCCTCCATCAATCTGTTAACAAAATACAAATATAACAGAAAATTAAAAGGATTTCATATAACAGGAAAATTGCAAAAGCATACGTTTAGTGAGATAAAGAATGCAGAAATGGAGACTAGAATTTCCAAACAAGAAACATTAACTGAATAAGAAAGGGGTTTCTTCAAACAATTAAGTCATATTCATAGTGAAGCAGAGATGACGAGAACATTAACATCGTCCACTGAATCACAAAGCATATGATCTCTTAGAGAAAAATAAAGTATGACAATCAAGGGTAGCAAAAACTTTTAATACAAAATATCACAATCCAAATATTGTACTCATAAACTTAACTGAAAAATGATGCAATCAGTTAAAATTTTAGTATAAAAAAGTATCATACTATGGGGAAATGATTTTTAAAAAAGTATCATACTATGGGGAAATGATTTTTATAAGAGTAATGTAAGAACAATTGGATTACTAAAACATACTACCTTGCCAAATGTGCTGAAAATGCACTAGCAAACACATCACCCCTTCTTTTTGCATCTTCAGTGCCACCCTCACTAGCCACTGCCTGAATATTTAACATTAAGCTGATTTAAAATCATTACCAAACATATACCATGCCACAGATAAGTAATAAAGCCCTAAAAACTTAAAAAGTAAGATAAGATAGAAATTTGCCACAATAATTATATTCCACATGAAAGTTCATGTAAAAGTTGTGGATAGCAGCTCTGCAACAGCTTCATGCATGTAAACATAATCTTTTAGATGGCATGTCCAAATGCAAATTTAAGATGGCACAATTTGAGCCATATCGATCCAATTCAAGCCACCCCAAGCCCTTATTCAGTTATTCCTAATACCTATCAAGTAATACACAACAAATAATAGCTTCAGAAAAAAAAAACGTAATTTTGGAAATAAATTTTAAATAAGAAGAGCAAGAAGAAAATCACTCTTTGCGCATCTGGAAGCCCCCAAAACCCCAGGAATCGCTTCGTCGTCTCTTCCGCATAAGGTCAATCACGCGGTGGAGGCGGTGGTTGCGTCGAGGTAATCGCGGTGTGGTGCGTCGTCGTCGGCAGATCTTCGTCGCGGTGTGGTTAGTCTAGATCTGAGAGTGCGGCCGTGATTTGTTTACATCTCAGATCTCCGGATCGGCAGGAACGACGATGCAATAGCGGCGGGTGTGGCGGTGGAGGCGGGGAGTGAGAAGGGAGAGTGTGGTCGTCTTAGGAGAGGAGGTAGAGCGAGAGAGGAGCTGAGATAGAGTGAGAGTGGAAGCCGGATCTGAGTATCTGACCAAGGGTTGTTTTAGATTTCTTTTTAATTTTTTTTTAATACATTCCGCCACTGTTTCGTGTAGAAACAGTGGCGGTATTATTTATATTTTTTAAATCCGCATCCGTTACACCTAAAAACAGTAGCAGATTATTTATGCATTATTACGAAATTGCCACCGCAAATTTTTGAATTAAAAATAAACTACTGTTCTTTTAACAACAGTAGCTAAATGTCAGTCTCCTATGTTCTATTTTGTACTAGTGTGAGTTGGTCCCATAAGGTCTATATGAACCAGTTCTAGCCATCTCCCAGTAGTAATTATCTTTACTGCTTTGTGAGAAGTTCTTATTTGCTTTCCAATGGCACATGCACCACAGATTCCTTCATGTTCAATTTTGAGATTAGGTATCTCACGAACAACATCTAATTTGATCATTTTGTCCATATCTCTGATCTCTGAAGTTTATATGTCCCAATCGTCAATGCCATAGTTTGATTCATCTGTTTTAGATATTAGACAAGCAGTTTCATTGGTCAGCACATAACAATTGTCAGAAGATCGTGTTCCTTCCTTCACCACTTGATCTGCTTTATAACGGACTCTGCAACAGTCACGATTGAAACACACAATCCAATTCTGATCACATAGCTGGCTGATGCTAATAAGATTTGCTTTCAAACCACTGACTAAAAGAACTTCGTCCAGATGTGGCAATCCTGGTATATTTAGAATACCTTTTCCAACTATCTTTCCTTTCTGTCCGTCCCCATATGTAACTGACCCACTGCTAGGTTGAACAGCCATGAGATACTTGACATTCCCAGTCATATGTCTGGAACATCCACTGTCGAAATACCATCTTGCTTCAGTCATAGAAGCGGTTAGAACTATTGTGGGATAACATATTACTTTTGATTTCCTGACCCAAACCTATCTTGTGAAGGGGTAATAGACTTTTTCTGATATTTCTCCTTCCTCTGATCTCTGTAGAAGAAGTAACATTCAGGTCGAGTGTGTCCTTTTGTTTGACAGTAGTGACAGATGGGTACGTATTGTCTAACTTTTACAAATTTAGTCTTGAGCCTTGAGTAATGAGATTGAAATTTGACTCTGCCAGACTCAGTCTCAGCAATCCGAGTGTGCATGATTCCTTTCTGCTTTGTCTGTACTGAACGTGATGTCTGACTTTGTTCATAACTATGAACCGGTTTACCGATTGATGTACCTTCTTTGATAAACACTGGTGCTGTCTTCGAGGACTCTCCTCGTTCAAAACCGAGTCCTTTTTTATCATTGGGGTTTCGGTCAGAAACCAGAATTTTGTCTAAGGTAGAAATGGTATCCATCATCTTAATGTTCTGCATTAGATCCTCCAGTTCTTTTATCAACTTCCCCTCTCGAGATCTTATTTGAGTAATAAGATCTTCTTTAGTGACTAGTTCAGTGTTTAGTTTCTTCAGAGATCATCTCACTGCTTCAGATCTTCATTCAGACTCTTATTGACTTTCACCAGTTGTTCCCAACTTCAAACTAGTTTAGCAAATTCCAGTTCTAGTTGTATATGTCTCTCTTCAAAGTCATCTGATGATATGTACGATTCTTCATCGGTGTCATTCTCTTTTGATAGGTTCTCTGTCACTGTGAAGAAGGCCACGGAGTTTCCCACATTTTCATCTGACTGGTCATTTGCTGCTTCCTCGTCATATCACTTAGGGTCGCCACTGACATAGCTTTCTTTATTTTGAGATTAGTTGCACATTCAGATTGTATATGTCCGAATCCTTCACACTCTCGACATTGCATTGTTCGGTTTAGAGGTCTAACTGTGTCAGTTGGATCACTCCTGATTTGTCTTGTTCGGCCAGTCTAGGACTGACTGTTCTGTGAGAAGGAGGGCGTTTCTGTTTTCTGATATGAGGAGTTTCCATTTTTGTACTGTGTCTTGTTAGGTTGTCCTTGACTCCTGCGATTGAAGCCTTTCAATATTTTCTTGAAGTTCTTTGTTAGCAAGGCTAATGCTTCGTCATCTATTTCATCTGTGCCAGATTCCCGATCAACTTCAGCAACAAAAGCAACTAACTTGCCTTTTCTGCTGAGTGCAGGTTCAACATCAGCTAACACTTCAAGCTCATACGTATGTAGGCTTCCCATAAGTTCTCCCACACTCTTCTTCTCCCAGCCTGTGTGTTCCTGAATAGCAGTCACTTTCATCCGAAAACGTTTTGGTAGAGATCAAAGTATCTTTTTGACCACTCTTTCATCAGTAAATGGTTCACCAAGTATTGAAGCTCTATTCATCAAATTCTGAACCTGACTGTGAAAAATTGAGATCGTTTCCTCTTCACCCATTCAGAGAGCTTCAAACTCTGATAGTACCAACTGTAGTTTGGACTGCTTGACATCACTGGTACCCTCGAATCTGGTTTCAAGGATTTGCCATACTTGTTTTGCTTCTTTTATCCCGGTGACTAAGGTAAAGACAGATTCATGCAGAGATCCTACAATAGAATTCAGTGCTTTATTGTTCAGATCAGAGGACGACATCTCATCCTCAGTCCATGTCTTTATAGGTTTGGCTCCAAAAGTTCCGTTAGCATTCTGAATAGTTGGAGGACTCCATCCGGTAAGAACAGTACGATAAACTCTGGTACCTTGTGCCTGAAGGTAAATCTCCATTCGAGCCTTCCAGAATGAATAGTTGTGACCATCCAATTCTGGTGGTTTCATACTTGCAACCATCCTGAATCAAAAGACAACATGCCAAAACACACACACAAGGAGCAAACAAACTGCCAACAGACAACCAAGTAAACAACTTCTTAAAGAGAGACCTATGCAAAAAGTTCTTCCCGTAAGGATCAAGTCACTGTGTAGACTTAAAAGCTCTGATACCACATGTAATTTTGCATTTTCCAGTTTAAGATTATTATTAGAGATAATCGACTGATGTATTGGACTGACTGATTTAGAGACGTGAATTGTCAGTCAGTTAGATAGATTGCAGATTAGTTTGTAGAGGAAAACTAGAGCATATAATAAATCAACACGTACGATGTTTACCCAGTTCGGTACAGTGTGTATCTACATCTGGGGGACGATCACCGAGGCGTCGAATCCATTGACTCATAATCCAATGTACAAAGGTAGAGAAACAACAATCTCACCCAAGTGCCCCACACAAGGTACCTACCCAGTCTACAAAGGTTTAGTGGATTGTTGAAGTTAGAGAGCCACGCATGCAGAAGTCCAATGAGATTCCTTCAATTGGAGAGCTAACTATGATGCAGTCCACTTCAATGACGCAGTCCCATGTTGTTCCCACAACTGAGTGATCTTCGCGTCCTTTCGTTTAAGCAACGATAATTCTTCTCAAGTTCTTCATCATAATCACCAAGAACTTATTGTCTTGAGAAGAGGCATGATAATCAAAGATATATGTTTCTGTGTAGCATAAAGTGCTTTTGTCTTCTTAAACTCGTAACCCTAATTCTTGACCAAATAAGGATACTTATACTTCCTTGGTAAGAACACTTCCAAAAATATTTTTGATTATAGATGGTAGGACAAATTGTGAAGAATGCAATCTTAAAGATTCGGTCCATACCTTCCAAACACAGATGCACTGATTTTCTTTCCAAAACTGTCTTCTCAAACCGCGTTCAGCATTTTGGAAACATCTTCCTTTATCAGTTCTCCAGTGTCAGTGTGTCTGTTGATGAACTTGATCAATCAGTCTTCTGTAGCAATAAACAGACACCAAGCTAAACCCTATCTTAGTTTGCCATAATAATATTGCCAATTATATGTTGGGGTTTTTTTGGTGAAAGTAAAAACACTAACAATAATCGTACTTGGCATATTGTTCCTTCTCAACCAGGTATGAATGTTGTTGGTTGCAAGTGGGTTTTCAGAACCAAACGAAAGGCCGATGGTTCAGTAGAACGTCATGAAGCACGGTTGGTGGCCAAGGGTTTTAATCAAGTTGCTGGATAGGACTTTTTTGAGATATTTAGTCCTGTGGTTAAACCCACTACGGTACGTCTTCTCTTATCTTTAGTCGTATCGCGTGGGTGGTCTATTCGCCAGTTGGATATTCACAATGCTTTTTTGAATGGCGAGCTAGCTGAGACTGTTTACATGCGCCAACCACCTGGTTATGAGGATCAGTCATTACCTGATCATATGTGTTTGCTTAAATTATCTCTCTACGGTCTCAAACAGGCTCCACGTGCATGGTTCACAAGGCTACATGATTTTCTAGTCTCTGTGGGCTTTGCGCCTTTAAAGACTGATGTGTCTCTTTTTATCTATTCTCGTGATAATGTTCGTCTTTATTTCTTGGTGTATGTTGATGACATTTTGATTATGGGATCTGACTCAGACTGTGTTATTGCTCTTATTAATAAATTGGCACTTGAGTTTAAAGTTCGTGATATGGGTGTGCCTTCTTTCTTTTTGGGAATAGAAACTGTCCCATTATCTGGTGGTATGCTTTTATCTCAACAACGGTACATGAAGGATATTCTCAAACGTGCTGCCATGGTGGACTGTAAGCCAGTGGTCACGCCTGTCTCTACCGCGAAAACATCCGACGATGTTGCCACTCCATATGCCGATCCAACACAATACAGAAGTCTTGCAGGTGTTCTCCAATATCTTACGGTAACTCGTCCTGATCTGTCTCATGCTGTTAATCTCTTGTGTCAACATATGCATGCCCCCACTTGTAACATCCCGAAATTTTGAAACTTTTAAACTTATATGATAAAGGTAATTTCTCATAAAATCCCAAACAGAGCATTACTAATTGTAAGTGTACGGGGTGCTATGCCACATCTGAGCTGGAGAACTCAGATGCACAGGCTATACTAACTAAACATCCTCAATACATCATTATGGCACGCAAGCCGAAAGGAAAGACTATCTATCTAATCCACGGTCTTCTAGCGCGCTCTGGGATCTACTCATCTGTGCCTGAAAGCCAAATATATATGTTCAGCGAGAAATGCTGGTAACCCACTCCAACGCGTTGAAATACATTATAGATAGGTATATATAGATATACGAAAATCATTTTGAAGCAGGAAGATATATACTTAAGAGACACTAGTTTTAAAAACCGGGAATAGACTCAGCAATTAGGGATAAGCACATCAAACAATAATAAACAGTTAAGTAGAGATAACATCATAAGGAATATGCATTTAAGGTCACAGATCGCTTTCCAATTAAAACACATCATTATTCAATCACCATTCATATCACATAATCGTTGATGGCGCCACGGGACCAATCGCATGCCCCGAACATGAGGGTTAATGCTTATAGCATTAACACGGCCCTGCAGCACCCTACCTCAGTACCGTGGTACTAGGGGAGTTGATCGCAACCAACCCTTTGAGAACCGCTGGCGAACTCAACGTCGGATCACGATCCGACACACCGCTGACGCGCACAGTCGGTGGACCGCGATCCCCTTTACAAGGGGGGACTTACGACCCTACACACCGTTGATGCGTACAGTCGGTGGACCATAGCGGATCAAGCCCGACACACCGCTGAGCTAAACTCAGTCGGTGGGCGAAGATCCTCGGAGACTACGGCCCTACACACCGCTGTCCCATCACTCGGTGGATCGCAGCCAGTCGTAGCCCTACACACCGCCTGATTACTCAGGTCGGTGGACTACAACCTTCCTCAGCTTTTTGGCCCTACACACCGCCAGGCGCGTCCAGGTCGGTGGGTCATATCACCGAGGCCCATATTTGGACCTGTAGTCCAAGAAGTGAATCAGTTTGGCCTTAGCCACTTCTGAGCCTTTGCTCAGGATCAACCCATTTGGCCTTCAGCCACTTCCGAACCTTTATTCCGGGAACAATCCATTCGGTCTTCAACCGACTTCCGAGCCTTAGTCCGGGAACCACCCAATTGGCCTATAGCCAAAATGGGGGATCATGCAACACATAACACATAAGAGCACGTAATAGCATATTGGGAGGGGAAAGACATGTAAATAAACTTACGTGTGATCATTCACATGCTAAGAATAGTCCTAAGGGTCCATACAACTTCCACCTAGGTCCACAGGTTACCAATTCAACTAGCATGCAATCCCTAAGACTCAATTAACCTACGAATAGTACCCGAAATATCAAACTAGACTCAAGCACGACAAACGGGGTCCGTTGGGACACCATGGGGAGCGAGGAACATCAAACGGGGGAGCCAAAGACTCGGGGTGGGGTACGGACCAGCGGGTTGCCGACGGGCAGCGGGTTGCCGACGGGCAGGCGGCTGCCCGCTGCCGGGCGGTGTTCTTCGGGCAGTGGGTAGGTGGCGGGTACCCCTACCCCCACCTACCCCCACTGACTCTTTTATCAAAAATTCATCCCGGGATCCCTATGTGGAACCCGAAACCATGCTTAGACATTTTTAAATGCAATTAATGACACCACGTAGTCAATTAATAGATCAAAAGCAAGAATCATGTATAACTCATCCTATCACGACTTCTAAACATAAACAACCCGCGAACATGCGAATTCCCACCCAATATATATCAAGAACATTACAATACAAATTCCCAATCCATCCTAGGGCTCTAATCCCACCCAAATCATCAAGATCATATTTTATCTTTAACATCAAGAAATATCAAGATTCGTCAAGAATTATCACAACCATATCAATAACTTCTCTTCAACATCAAGATCATCAAGATTATCAAGAATACACATAAATCATCTTATCAATCGTCAAGAACAAATCACAATTAACATAGAAGAATTTATCAAGACACAAGAATATAGAGGGAGGCCAAGGAAGGAGATTATAGCGAAGAAAATTGGTTTTGTTGAGACATGGGTTACCTCTTAGCCTTAATTAATTTCCTTGGCTATGAAGGGTCTTTCTTGATTTCTCCTAAGGGAATTCTTGGAACTTCTTGTGTGGTGAGAGATTATTGTGGTGTGACTTCTAGGTGCCTCCTATGTCCTTATATATATATTGAGGAGTCCTAATTAGGGTCTGAATGGTATGGGTTTACTAATTCTATTCCTTATAGGACTAAGGGCTTGGTTTAGGGATAAGGGTCCATGGTCCATGGTGAACCATATTAATTAATTAAAAGGAATCCTAATCATGATCTGAATAGTAAAGGCCTACTTTCTTTATTTCTAATAGATAATTAGGTCTAAGATTCCTAATTAGAATCTGATTAGTAAAAAGGTTTACTCTCTTTATTCCTAATAGGCTTAAGACTCTAGTCTAGGCAAGGATCCACGATCCATGGTGGACCACATTAATTAATTAAAGGGAATCCTAGCCAAATTAAATCCCTTTTTAATTATTATTAACGGAATTAATTAAATAATTAATCCGGGATTGAAGGCCGTAACGCGGGGTGTTACACCACTACTACGGACTGGGGCTCTCTAAAAAGAATCATGCGATATGTCAAAGGCACCCTGCATTTTGGTCTGCGTATTTCTCGGTCTGCGTCGATGGATATTCACGCCTATTCTGACTCAGATTGGGCTGGCAATCCGAATGATCGCAAGTCTACTAGTGATTTTGTTGTGTTCTTGGGGAGTAAACTTATATCTTGGGTTTGTCGGAAGCAACGGACAGTAGCACGTTCTTCAACTGAAGCAGAATACAAGAATCTGGCTGATGTATCTGCTGAGGTTACATGGCTTGTTTCTCTACTACACAAGATCGGCATCCCACCTGCGTCTCCTCCTCGACTATGGTGTGATAATTTGGGAGCTACTTACTTATGTGCTAATCTAGTGTTTCATGCCCGCACGAAGCACATTGAGATTGATTATCATTTTGTTCGCGATAATGTAGCCAAAAAGGAGTTAGAGGTGCACTTTATTTCAACCAAGGATCAACTAGCAAATATCTTCACCAAGTCTCTTTCGTCTATTCGTTTTAATTCTCTTCGTGACAAGCTCAATGTTTTGGCTAGCCAACCTTGTGCTTGAGGGGGAGTATTAGGACTATATTATCCATATTAGACTAGGACTATGTTATCCAGATTAGACTAGGACTATATTATTCGTGTTAGACTAGGATTCTATCTAGTATCTATATATTCGCTCTCTGTACTCTCAGACATTATGATTGAATACAACACAATCTATATTCTCATCCACCCTACTCCTCTCTCCTCCATCTCTCTCCTTTAAGTTGCCATTTTTCCTAAAAAACTGCGAACAATGCCTTAATGGGGATGCACTTAGAAACATAACATAAGTATTTCAATGTTAATTTTCAATTATGGATCAACAATTATTACTCAAATTAATTTTTTGAATTACTCTCCACTCCACTAAACTCTTTTTTATTATTATTCACTTTGATTTTCTTTCAACTTTATTTAATTATTTATGATGATTATGAAGTTCCTAAACCCTTGATATTCCATAACTCTCAAATGCACCAAATGGAGGGAAAAATTTTTCACCTTGAATATGCTATATTATATATAGAGATTATTATTATTATTATTATTACTATTGTTATTACTATTATTACTACTACACCGCATCAATCGATACTCTGTATTAACCTTTTAAAAGTTCTAATTGCACTCTTTTTTACAAGTTCAAAAGTTTAATTGCACTTTTTCTTTTTTGGAGGGGGGGGGGGGGCGGGGGGGGGGGGGGGAGGAAACACCCTGAATCATTAGTTGATTCTCACAATGTTAGTTTCACCAAGAAGACCAAGTTCATCATCTCTAAGAAAGCTCTGCATGTCGATTGTGGCTTGCTCAAAAACATGTTCCTCTGTATCGTTGGTGAGGGCATGACTAGCAATGTTATCCATCGCTCTATCCTGTTCCCTTGGAACATGTCTAAATATGACTTCCCAATTCCCATATGACTTCCCAATTTACAAATTTAAGTGTTTAAATGGAATTTTTTTTCCTTTTCAATTAAGAGGCCTAATTACATTATTACTACCAGTTTGAGAGTTCATTTAACATTTTTCACCATATATAATCTTAACTATAATAAAACTATATGGTTTGGGAAGTAATTAATGTTACAATTATTATTTTGGTGAGTAATTATTGTTATAATTATTGTCTCTATCATTATAAATATAAAATAACCACAACATTCTTTACTATATAAAAAAAAAGCACAACATTTGAAAAATAAAATAGCTATTTTTTTCTCGCCCATAACAAATGATTAAATTTATTGAATTAATGGAGTTATTAAATGTTATGATATTATGATTAAGGATTCCGATTCCCGATTAATAGAAAATATGAAGCGATGCAATATTAATTAAATATATGGCTTTACAATGAAAGTCTATTTGATATGCTTTTGTTATTTATGGTGCTTCTTGAGATTACAATATTAATTAAATTTTCGATGAAAGCCTATTCGATATCTGAAACATTGCAATTAATGCAAGCCTCTACATATAATTTTTCTCCCTCTCAAATGCTTCAAAGAAATGGCAGAAGCGAGAAGGGATATGATGAAGAAAGCAAATGCTGTGGGCCGTGGGTCAATTATTGGACTTCAGAATAAATAAATAAAAAACCATTTGAGCCATAAATAAAAATTTAAATATATATAAATGTATATATCGTATGGGTCTTTAATGTTTTTCTGGATTTCTAAACTTAGGAATTTAAAAAGAAAAAAAATACATTTGAATTATCTCCACAAAAAGTGGTCTTGAGCTTAGAGAATGATGACATTTGGGTTTATGACATGACATGTGCATAAAGAATATATTATATAATCATAAATGTGTTCAATTAGAGTTTAAATTTACTCATACAAAATTTGAAATTTGTTTTCTAAATGTAATTATCTTAGTTATTATTCGTATTGTGAAAATTATAATATAGATGAAATACAATTAAGAGTAAATCAATGTAATTATGTAAATTCTCTCTATAAGTTTATTTGAATATGTACATAATTAGAGATTATATTAACCATACAAAATTTTAATTTTAATTTTAATTTTAATTTTGTATTCTATAAAAATAATAAATATTTGACCAATGGAAGTTCAAAAATATTATTATATTCAACAATTTAAAATATTTTTATTTTTTCTATTTTTTATTTATATTTATAATAACATAAATTTTTTCCCCGTGCATAGTGCGGGTGAATTATTAGTTATACCCAATAGTCCAATACTATAAACATCAACGTCAATTGGTACTCAAAAAAAAAAAAATCTAAATTTTTATATTAATTTTTATCAAAAAGGAGAAAAAAGATTCGCAATTTCTTGACCACATAGCATGGTATCCTTTCCAGAGGAATTAAGTAACTGGAGATAAATTCGACATTGAAAGATTCCAACATCCTTTTTATTTCCATTTGCTGTCAAAGTCTTGAAATTGAGACGAAAAGGAAAAAACTTCTTTTCATTCTTTCCAACTTGGTTGCTTGAACAAGTAGCTAATATTCTTTTGCAATATGATATATGCAAATCAAATATGATTTAAATCTTTGATTTTTGAGAAAATTTAGTCGTTATATGAAAGTGCACTCTGAGTCTCTAACCAACCTAGATTAATTAATACTGACTGACTCAAATTAAGAAGACTAATAGATAATTTTCACAAGAGTCAAACTTGAAACATTATCATTATCAAGTCAACTGTCAAACCAACTTGATTATTAAAATCTTATTTAATATGACATAATTTAATAGTTCTATTACATTAAACAATTTTTTTTACTAAATTAGTTTATGTAACATGATTTTATAATTTTTAAAGTGCATGTTATATAACAAAGGGTTCTATTTCAAAAAAAAAAAAAAAAAAAAAAAAAAAAAAAAAAAAAAACAAAGGGGTCATCTTCTTTGTCTCCAAATCTAGAGGTGAGAAGGAGAGACTTCTTCGCCTCTTGATCTGGAGATGAATTGAAGGAAGGAATTTTCCCTTCTCCTTCATCACCATTGCTGAAAGTTAAATAAATAAATAAATAAATAAATAAATAAATAAATAAATAAATAAATATATATATATATATATATATATATATATATATATATATATATATATATATATATATATATATATATAGGATCCGGATCAGGTGAGGACCTAATCTTAGGTGAGGACGTGAGGACTAATCTTGTGCGTTTGTTTTTTTTATTTGGATGGCCCAGATTTGAGTTCTTGAGATGACATGGATTGATCTTTTTTTTGTTAAAGTGGGGTAGTAGTGTCTTTTTCTATTTATTTTTTAAGTGTGAACGCATGTGTAATCCTTGGCCAAATTGGTTTCCTATTTTCTTGGATCATCACCGTTGCAATTTGGAGCCGCGATTTCTTCATCATTGATTGAGTGTTCGCCCATGTAAACTAATCAGTATTTTTTATTTTTTTTCGCTCGTTCTTTTGAGTATAATATTGTCTATATTTGAATTTTCGTGTATATGTATAAATGCCTGGATAGTATGATTGTGCATTCGTGTGTGCTGATTGTGCAACCTAGCGTTGTAAGTTGTGCACTATAGGCTAGAGAGTTGTGCATTATAGTACATAGTTTAGTGCATCTTAGGACATTGGGATGTCCACTGCATGATTTTTTGGCGGGGTTTGAATGCACAACAATAAAGTTATCGATGCACAACACTCAGTATACGAATGCACAACATTTTGTATAGGAATGCACATCTATTAATAAGACAGATTTACCCTAAATTTATATATTTTAATATTTTAATATTTTAAAGGAATTTGTTTTCTTAATCCGTGTGATTTGTTCCTTTTAATCTCAGCCATACATCATTCTGATTTAATGGTCTAGATTAGTCCTCACGTCCTCACCTAAGATTAGGTCCTCACCTGATCCGGACCCTATATATATATATATATATATATATATATATATATATATATATATATATATATATATATATATATATATATATATATATAGAGGTTAAAGTTCTAGTGCGGGTAAATGCTTCCCATGCGGTTGTGCGAGTGATTAATGTGCGCGAGTTTTGTACTTAATGTGCGTGATTCTTGTGCTTATTGTGCGTGAGTTTTGTACTTATTGTGCGTGAGTCTTATGCGTAATGTGCGTGAGTGTGTACTTAATGTGAGTTGTTGTGTGAGTTGCTGTTGAAACTTTAAAGTGCATGAGTTTTATGCGTAATGTGCGTGAGTCGTGTGCTTAAGGTGCGTGAGTTTTGTACTTAATGTGCGTGAGTGTGTACTTAATGTGAGTTGTTTTTAAAACTTAAGGTGCGTGTGTTTTTGTGATTAACAAGCGTGAGGCTTGTGCTTAACATGCGTGAGACTTGTACTTAACATGTGTGAGGCCTATGCTTAACATGCGTGAGGTTTGTGTACTTAATGTGAATGTGTTGTGTACTTTAAGTGGGTCAGATTAATGCTTAACGTGCGTCCACCTGCACAACCGCACGGGAAGCCTCAAATGCACCTGATCCCTTCCATATATATATATGGGTAACACTTGTGTAAGACCGTCACACGGGTCTCAATCCGTGAGAAGTGACCGGAAACAGAGCGCATGCGAGGAGAGAGAAAGAGCGTCTGGTTTATTTTCATGAAAGTTGAATTGATACAGAGGGAAAGCAAATTACAGTATATGTACGAAAAGAGAAGCGGTTACAACAGAATGTAATATGACAAGATTGCCATTCGATTCATTTT